GGCTCACCTCGACCCCGTGGGTAGGGAGCCCTTTCGAGCGGAACAGGGCGTCCACCCGCCGAGCAGCCTCAGCCACAGGGCCTTGCTCGCCAGCGTACGCCACGAAGTTGTCCACGTACTCCGTGCGCACCATCGGCTGCATGGCTGGCACCTCGGCCCCGTCGGACATCCTGTTGGCGGGCGAGATCCCCTCGATCTTGTCCACCATCGCTTCGTGGATGATCTGACAGGCCATCAGCGCTTGATTCCACCCCATCGGGATCACCTTCAGGCATGGAAACACGACCCCATCACCGTCTCCACCAACGTCGCGGGCTCGCAGGCGAGGAAGGGCGAAGTACCCGCGGAACTCGCTCGGGAGCTCCAGCGTGTAAAAAGAGCTCACGATGTCCACTCCGCCCAGCCACACGGGCTCGCCTGCGTCGACCTCAAGCATGGCGAAACTTTGGCCCGTGGCCAGCTTGACGTCTGGTGGGTCAGCAAAATGAGAGTTGGCCCATCGGGCATCAATGATCATACGTTGTCTGCCATCTTTTTTGTGGACTGCGAACACACCGACATCCTCCTCGCGGTGCGCCCTGTACTCGATAAGACCGCACGCCTCAAGCCGCTTCACCAGCTTCAAGTATTCACGGCGATTACGGAGGCGAGGATCCGTGAAAACCTTCTTCACTCCCGAACTCGACTTACGCTGCTCCGCCTCCTCTTTTGGCAAGAGCTTCTCCTGTAGGATCCTTGTGACTTCCACACCAGCTGGCTCATCCAGTTCCAAAAGAGGCACCGCTCGGTGACCCCGCTCAGGAAGCGCCAGACAGTCAACATCAAGGTTGGCCAGGGTTGCGGGCTCGCCGTCGTACCCCCGGCGGGCCAGAAGCTCTCGAAAGGCTTCCTGGCCTGAAAGCCCAGGAGGGGGGCGACCCACCTCTTGAGCACACGAAAGAAGACGATCGAGCACCATCTGCTGGCTCTCGGTGGCCTGCGCCCCCAGCGCGCCGCGGTATTGCGGCCCAGCACTCATCTCGTTGAGCGACTCCACCATATCGCTCGCCCATTTCAGCTCGTGCTGGTGCGCATGGAGGCGCTGGCGTGAGCGTCGTGACAGACTCGGCCGTGCCGACGCTGGAAAACTGGATGGCCCCTGAAACACATCAGGCAGCGGGAACAGGTCGCGCTGTCGACCGTCAGCGGCTGGCACTTCAAAACCGTAGGCAGCCTTCATGTCCAAGGACGCGGCAGCCGCCCGCACGGGCGAGGGAGCAAGAGTTCCCTCGCCAAGAGCCCGATCAGACAGGAGGCCTGATCGGGCGGCCTTCTCGTAGGGCTAGCGGCCCGCCGCGGCCCGCTCCTCGCGGGCCTTGCGAACCTGCTTGAGCACGCTGGCGTCGCGCTCCACCTCCTTCGACACGTAGTCCAGGAGGTCGGGGGCCACCATGATGTCCCCGAACTCCTTGTGGCCCCCCATGAAGATCTGGGACTCGTCGTAGAGCCCCACTCGCATGAGGCCGCCCCGGCCCTTGCCCTTCTTGTCCTTCTTCTCCTTGCCGTCAGCCTCGGCGCCGTCGCTGGACCTCCCGCCGCCGCCCATCTCGGAGTAGCTGTACTCGATGAGTTGGGCCTTCCTGATCACCAGCTCGAAAGCCCCCAGGTTCACGACATCAAGGGCGTCGCAAGTGAGGGCCAAGTCCCCGGCGTGCATGATCATGAGATGCTCACCGACGGCCCAAAACTCGGCCTTGAGGCCGTGCGTGTGCTCCCAGAAACGGTGCCAGTCAATGGCACCTCCATTGCGACGATTGGTGAACTTCAGGCACCACAACGCCGTGCGAGGGCCTGGCACCGGGAACTCCGCGAAGTTCACCTCCTGCACGGCCTCCGCTGCCGCTCGGAACAGCGCCTTCACTCTCTGCCCACCGATGGTCGTCACGCTCATCAGCCGCGCGTCGCCTACCGCCTCCACCCCCGCGAACTCGATCTCACCACCAGGCGGTACGAAGGCGAGCAGCACCCACTGCGGCGGCACCCCCTGCTCTTGCATAGCACGTGTGCCCTGCACAATGGCCTGTGGCAAGAGGGCCACCGCCTCACCGCGACGAAACCCAGCCCGTGTATCGACTGCCAGCCAACTGCCTGCTTCGCCCTGGGCGGGCGCGGGTGCAGCACCTGCGGCGGCGGCCGCGCCAGGCGCGGGCGGCCCAGGAGCAGGCGCGGCGGATGGCCCTCCCGGCGGCGTCGCGCTGCCGTGCACCAGCGCGGGGAGCGGCGCCATCGTAGTCTGCAGCGCCAGGGCGTGGGCGGTCGCCTCACCCGTCCACTGGGCGATCTGAGCCGCCGTCGGAGCGGCGACGAACCTGTAGCACATCGCCCTCGTCGCGCCGGGAGGAGGCGGCCACCGCTGCGTCGCGAAGCGGATCCCCACCTCGTCTGCATTGGCAGGACCATACTCTTCATCATATACCTGTCCGTCTAGCGTGACAATGAGCAGACTAGTCGCCGATGACGCCAGCACGCCGAGCAGCAGCCTCTGGTGCCACAGGACCTCCGGCATCGCGTACCATACGAAGGCCCAGGCTACCGCCGCCTGCACCGCCATTGTACACGAAGCCGACGGCGACGAACGTCGAGCTGGCCCCGAGCAGCAGGACCGTCCAGGCCCACAGGCGGTTGTTGCCCGTCAGCACCTCGGGATCGCTCACCCCGCACGTCGGCCCGCGGAGCGGAGGCGCGCCTGGGCACGCTGGCACCGCCGGGCACGGCGGGCAGGCGGGGCACGCGGGCACCGCAGGGCAGCTACCCGCCGAGACTATGGCGGCGATGCCCAACGATCGAACAATCTCGTAAAGAAAAGGTTCAGCCCGAGATCCATGCCATCTGAGGCACCGCTTTGAACCCCAGAGAAGACTACGGAAGCGCTGTGCCGCTTAGCGGCGGTCGGGCTTGCCTAGATGATTCACGTGCGAGCACTTACATATATATATATGTGTGTATATGATTCGTCTTCTTCATCGGCTCTGGACCAGCCCACTGGCGTGTCCCTGTCAGCAATCACATCCCACTCTCGTAGTGCACTGCTAATTTCTCCCTGCCTGTCCGTGAATGAAAGGAGGGAAGGGGACGGAGGAGGGAGGAGGAGAGAGGGAGGGAGGGTGAAGAGAGAGGAGGAGGAGGAGGAGGAGGAGGAGGAGGGAGGGAGGGGGGAGAAAGGAATTCAAGGTAGGGGGAAGAAGGAAGAACAGCGAGCGGTGGCAGTTAGCGTCTCAAGGTCTTGAAGGTCTGAATTGTGCAAGTACGCTGGCACCCCTCCCTACGGCCGTCCTTGTTGGCCGAGACACCGCAGGGAGAGCCTCGGCCACCACCAGCGCCAAAGACGGTTTCATGGATTGGAGTCCTGGTGGGGGTGAGAACCCGGCAGCCCCCATGATGGTAGCTGCCGAAGGGGGGCGCCTATGATGGTCACCACCAGAGGGGCAGAGACCTATGATGGCCCTCGCCAGAGGAGGGGAAGGAGGGGAGGCCGATGTCCGGGACCGTCTGACCGACCGTGAAGCGTCCTTGCCCTGAGGCGGGAATTCAAAGGAAGGGGCAAAACAAAAACGGCATACACAGTTTCGACTCCGAACTGAGAACTGAGCAGGCCCTGCCACTCGGTATCCCACGGGGAGGATAACGAGTGTGCACGCTCACGCTTTGGTGCCAGTTTGTTGCGCCCGTTGGGGCGGACGAAACGTGCTCCCCCAGGGGCAAACCAAGGGCCCTGGGGGCAGTGGCGCCCCGCCGAGAGCATGCCCGAGGAGGGGGAGGCATCCCTGGAATCAAAACCGAAAACACCGCGACCGAGCGCCCTGAGGTGAGAACAGAGATGCAGGGCCCAACGAATCCCTCATCAGGCAGGCTGCATCGGAGAGCGGGATATGTCCGGCCGCGCCTAGGCGCGACAAAATGGAACCAACCCAAAAAACTCCCCCAGCGAGGGGTCCGGTTAGGATACGTTCGATGGACAGCCCTGTTCACGCACTGTCGCGAGGTGCCTCGAGGCACGGATAGGCTGGCACATCCAAAGTAGTGGACCCCAGACAGACGGTTCGGTGACCTATTTACCGCCGACAATGTCCTTCGTGGGCCGGTGATGGGAAAGCAGGGAGGGGGGATTGGTCCTTCGGCTTGGCAAGCCTGTCCCCAGATTCTGGAGGGGAAAACATCAAGAGATCCTGCCTTGCGCTTCCAAAAACGTGCGTTCCGCGCGTTTGCAAAGACCCCCTGGCGAACCCAGCAGGGTGCCCGAACAAGTGTCCTTGGCACGGGAGCTGAAGATTGAGGCTGGTTTGTCGGAGCAAGCCCACCCCAGCACCCCCTTCACCCCTCGGAAGCAGAGGGGAGAGCAGAGAAGAAAAGGAGGCCAGGCGGAGAGGAAGGAGAGGGATGAAGGGTGTGAATCAAAGGAGGGGTGAAACCCCTTCCCTTGCTTTCTCTCCGAAGAGGGGTGAAGGGCCCCCTCTCGGAAGCAGAGGGGTGACCAGGCGCAGAGGGGTGAAGCAGGCCCTCGTCCGTGATGCGTCCTGGTCCTGAGGCGGGAATTCCTGAAAGGAGGGGGCACAGGAAAAAAGAAGTATACAGCTTCGACTCCGAACTGGATAACGAGTGCGCACGCTCACGCTTTGGTGCCAATGGGTCGAGCTGCTTCCGCTTGGGGGCGCTTGGGGCAAACCAAGGGCCCTGGGGGCAGCCGCGCCCCGCCGAGAGCATGCCCGAGGAGGGGGAGGCACCCCCCGAATCAAAACCCAGTACCCCGCGACCGAGCGCCCCGAGGTGAAGACAGAGATCCGGGGGCCCACAAAGCCGGGGGGAGAGGGAGGGAGGCCGCGTACCAGCAGGCCTGAGGCCAGGGAGGGAGGGAGGCCGCGTATCCCTGGCAGTACCAGCAGGCCTGGAGCGCCCTGAGGTGACCACAGAGATCTGGGGGCCCACAAAGCCGGGAGGGGGCTGTTCCGCGGGAGCGGGGCGTCCTGCTCCCGGCCGCCTGCTGGAAGGCGTCCCCGGTCTGCAGCACCAGGTTGCAGGCCTCGGCGGCGGGGCAGGGCAGGGCCACGGACGGCGGCCGCGGGACGGAGCTCGGGCCCGGGCTCGGGTTGGGGCTCGGGTTGGGGCTCGGGCTCGCGCTCGGGCTCGGGCTCGGGCTCGGGCTCGGGCTCGGGCCTATGCTCGGGCTCGGGCTCGGGGGAGGGGGGGGGACAGCGGCCGCGGAGCACTGGATGAGGAGCGAAGGGGCGTTTCTGGCCACGGCGAGCCTCGGCCACGAAGAGGTTCCTCAACCCAAGCCTGAAGAGCGGCCCGTACAACCAGACCCTCCTGAGCCCAAAGTGGTCCTTATTCAAGCGTCCCGACTGCAAGAGGCAAAGATGAAGGGAACGGCGGCCGCGGCGGCGGTGACAGAAACCTCGTCGTCAGTTATTCGTTGATCGATTGGTTGACTGACTTGTACCCACATCTTCCAGGGGGCGGGAGCAGCGGGAGGGGAACTCCTCCATTTCTCCTCCTCCACATCCTCCTCCTCCTCCTCCTCCTCCTCCTCCTCCTCCTCCTCCTCCTCCTCATCCTCATCTCATCATCATCATCATCTCATCATCATCATCATCATCATCATCATCATCATCATCATCATCATCATCATCATCATCTCATCATCATATCATCACCACACCACCACCACCACCCCCCCCCACCCCCACCACCCCCACCACATCATATCATCATCATCATCATCATCATCATCTCATCATCATCATCATCATCATCATCATCATCACATCATCATCATCATCATCAATCATCATCTCATCATCAAATCACATCATCATCAATAATCATCCATCATCATCATCATCATATCATTCATCATCATCATATCATCATCATCATCATCATCATCATCATAATCATCATCATCATCATCATCATCATCAGCAGCATCAGCATCAGCATCAGCATCAGCATCATCATCATCATCATCATCATCGTCATCATCATCATCATCGTCATCATCATCATCAGCAGCAGCAGTATCATCATCAGCAGCAGCATCATCACCACCACCACCACCACCACCATCGTCATCGTCGTCATCATCATCAGCAGTATCAGCATGAACATCATCATCATCATCAGCAGCATCAGCATCAACATCATCAGCATCATCATCATCGTCATCATCACCATCATCATAACCAGCAAGATCAGCATCATCATATTTATCATCATCAGCAGCAGCATCATCATCAGCATCATCACAATAATCATCATCATTATCATCAGCATCATCAGCATCAGCATCAGCATCAGCATCAGCATCATCATCATCATAATCATGAGCATCCTCCTCAGCATCATCTGCAGCATCATCATCACCACCACCGCCAACATCATCACCAGCAGCAGCAGCATCAGCATCATCGTCATCAGCATCATCGTCATCATCATCAGCATCATCAGCAACATCATCATCATCCTGATCATCATCATCATCATCATCATCATCAGCAGCAGCAGCATCATCAGCAGCATCGGCATCCCCCATCCCCTCATCTTAACAATACTTCCTCACTATCGCACCCCCAGACGTGTCGGTAGAGCGGGCCAGGCGCTTCGCCTGAAAACCCCTCACCGTGTATGATCCTGAAGCTTAATGTTTCCAAAAAGTAGCAAGAATGGAGGGCGGGCCGTTTTCAACATGTCACATGTTGTCGAACACCGACGGCGGACGCTGTTGGGCAGGCGACTTCTGTTCCGAGCGGACAACGACAGCGGCGACGCCCGAGATGGATGTGAAGAAAGGAAGGGGGGCCCTGGGACACACCAGTAGATGGGCACAGATCCGGAAGTCCCATACATACACACACATCTATAGACACACACACACACACACACACATTAGAACCACACGCGCGCTTCGCCCGCGCTTAGGTTCTACCTATGCGCAAGCAGGGGAGCTGCGGTGAAACATGGGATTTGGGCCCGAGAGTCGTCAGGTCGTAAAGCCCCAAGCATCAAGAGCTTAGGGCAGTAGGGCATTAGCGTCTTGGGGCATTGGAGTCCTAGGGCGTTAAGACCGCAGGGCCTGAGGGTGTCAGAGCAGTGTGGTGTCATGACATTATGTTATTAGGGTCTAAAGGCCTTTGGGGTTGTATGGCAGCTGGGTGTTCAAGTCTTCGGGCATTTGGATTTTCTGTATTCAGGCGTTGGGGCATTCTGGTCGCATGGAACTACGGACTTTGGGCCTTCAGGTCTTCGCGCCTTAGGGTCTGAAGGTCTTCGGGCAGTACGGCCTTACGGTCTAAGAGCCTTAATGGATTCGGATGCATGGGTCTTCAGGCCCCAAGGGTCCTAAGTATTAGTCTTCGGGCATTCAGGCATTCGGGCCTTAGGGCCTTGGAGTCCTAGTGCCTTGCGGCCGCAGGGTCGCAGGGCATTTGTGCATTAGGGCCTCAGGGCATTATGTTCTTAGGGTCTAAAGGCCTTTGGGTTTTATGGAAGCTGGGTCTTCGGGTCTTCAAGCATTGGGGCTTTCGGTATTCATGCCTTGGTGCATTGCGGCCGCATTGCCTTATGGTCGCAGGGTCTGAAAGCCTTGGGGCTCTAGGAGCCCGTGGCCGTAGGGTCTTAGGGCGTCCGGGTCCGATGAGTATTAAGCTCTTCGGGCCGGAGGGCCCTGGAGTAGTTGGGTCTTGAGGCTCTAGGGCCTTGGCCTTATGGTCTCGTGGCCTCAGGGCCTCAGGGTCTTAGGGCATTAGGGCCTTCGGGTTTAAGGATATCTGGGTCGCAGGATCTTAAAACCTCAGGGCATTAGGTTCCTTGGGTCTTCGGGCCCCAGGGTCGCGCGATATCAGACCATTGGGGCGCTAGGGCACACGGGCCCCAGGGCCTGAGGATGTCAGGGCTTTGAAGCGTTAGAGCTTCATGGTCTTAGGGCCTCAAGGTGATAGGGTACTGGGATATTGGGGCATGATGGTCTTCTGTATTCGGGCAATAGGGCGTTTCGGTGATCGGGCTGCAGGGTCATACTGTATTGGGATGTCTGGGGGGGTCGGGTCTTCTGGTCTTAGGGTAGTGTGACAGGCATTATGGTAATATGGTCTGTGTGCGTTGGGGCCTGCAGGTCTTTGGCTATTAGGGTCTTAGGGCCGTTGGGCCTCAGGGCCTTCAGATCCTGGAGTGTCAGGTTCTTCTGGGTATTAGGGTCCCAGGGACTCCCAGTCCTGCTTGGCAGGAGAGGGTACCAGTCGCGGGGGTTGGGGGGACGCTTCGGGGGATTTCCTATGTGCAGGGGGAGAGACACCTATGCCTTCCAACTTGGCTAAAATGGCTGGCCCACAGCTTCAGGCGAGCGTGCTGCCATGCCACCGCCTGGACGGCCCAAACCTCCATCACTTTCGGCGCAAACACCCCAGGCGGCCCCGAGGACAACGTGCCGGGAACCCTGCGCCTGCTTGCAGACGCCTGTGCAGGGTTCCTATGAGCAGAGGGAAAGGCCCTTGGGCGCCTTCCCCCTGGCCGAGTGTGGGCAAAAGCCGCCACCGCCACACCTAGCCAATTCCACCTCCGCCGCCGCACCTAGCCTCCTCGATCTTTGAGTCCCCAACAGCCCACCTCTTTCACTGCCTCACTTCCGTCACTCATTTCCCGCCAGTCAGTGGCCGTTTCGCATATCCCCCTCCCGCCTCGAAGCAGCGCCTAACGGCACAGAAGGCGTTTCAGCGAGCCCGCAACCACCGCTCCTCACCTCCACCTCACCTCTGACACAGAAGGGCACCTCCGTCCTAGCCACAACACCACGACGGGCCCCACGGGCCCACTCTCACGCTAGTGTGCTTCACTGCCGCCACACTGAGCTCCCTCTCCTCATCTCTCCTCTTCGAGGTCGTGATTTTCCGTTTTTGTTTCCCCCTCCTGTCTTCTGTTTCTTCCCCACAGCTACCTTATACATACCAGCCCTGCGGGGAGGGAGGGCCACGTTCGAAGAACTCTCAGGCCTCTAGGAATCAGGAATCAGGAGGAGGAGGAGGAGGAGGAGGAGGAGGAGGAGGGGGAGGAGAAGTAGGAGGACTGCGGACAGGGGGAGGAGGAGCGTCACGCTGGCCTCCAGGCTCTGGGCATCATGGCGTGCCGCGGCTTCGGACGCGCCAGGCGTCACGATCGCGCGACCGGAGGAGCGACGAGGCGCGGATCGAAAGTGATCGGCAGGTCAGGGCACGGGGAGCAAGTCTGATCACACGGGGCTGTCCTTGAGGAGGAGGAGGAGGAGGAGGAGGAGGAGGAGGAGGAGGAGGAGGCGGAGGAGGAGGAGGAGGAGGAGGAGGAGGAGGAGGAGGAGGAGGAGGAGGAGGAGGAGGAGGAGGAGGAGGAGGAGGAGGAGGAGGAGAGGAGGAGGAGGGGAGGAGGAGGAGGCGGAGGAGGAGGAGGAGGAGGAGGAGGAGGAGGAAGGAGGAGGAGGAGGAGGAGGAGGAGGAGGAGGAGGAGGAGGAGGAGGAGGAGGAGGAGGAGGAGGGGAGGAGGAGGAGGAGGAGGAGGAGGAGTAGGAGGAGGAGAGGAGGAGGAGGAGGAGGAGGAGGAGAAGGAGGAGGAGGAGGAGGAGGAGGAGGAGGAGGAGAGGAGGAGGAGGAGGAGGAGGAGGAGGAGGAGAGGGGGGGGGGGGGAGAGAGGAGGAGGAGGAGGGAGGAGGAGGAGGAGGAGGAGGAGGAGGAGGAGGAGGAGGAGGAGGAGGAGGAGGAGGAGGAGGAGGAGGAGGAGGAGGAGGAGCAGGAGGGGGAGGAGAGCGAAATTCCAGATTGTACCGCCGCCGCGCGTGACTGCGGGCCTGAACGCCCAAAGTGACAAGCAAATCGAAGCAGAGGTTGCGTTGGCCTGGCGCCGAAACCAAAAAGCTCTGATCACACGAGGCTTGCAAATGCATTCGGCGTGCCGCAGCTCCTCGCCTTCCAATCGCCGGCTGGACCGACAGGTCACGCAGCTCCAGCAGTCGCTGAGAGGGGCCAATGGGTGAGCGAGGAGCGAGGAGGGGAGGAGCGGAGGACCAGAGGAGCAAACGGAGGAAGGTGCGGGGACGAGGGAGGAGCAGACAGCGGGGAGCAGACGGCAGAGGGCAGGGACAGGGACACGGAGAGGGGCGCAGAGAGCAGAAGGGATTGGGAGGGGGGGGAGGGGAGGGGGACAGGAGGGGAGGGGAGGAATGGAGGGGAGGGGAGAGGGGAGGAGAAGAAGAGGAGAGGCAGAGCGGCGCGGAGAGCAGGCCCGGAGAGGGAGGGACACGGGGGGGGCGGGGGCAAGGGCAGCGCCACGGGGAGGAGAGAGAGGAGGGCCATACAGCGAGGGGGGGCGGAGGCATTACGAGGAGAGGAAGGCACCACATGCAGAGGAGGCGCCTGCTGCCGGCCCCTGTGGGTCATCAGCTGGAAGAAGACGCGGTCGTTGCAGCCACAGCCCGTGCCTCCCGCCCCGGGCCGGAGCCCCCGGACTCAGCTCAGGACTTCTGACGGCGGGGGGCGCAGGCCGGCCGCGGGGCCCTCGGCGCGCCAGGAAGACGCCTGGGCGCCCAGAGTCGGCTACCGCGGGCGCTTCGCGTACCCGTCCTCCTCCTCCTCCCTCCTCTTCCTCCTCTCCCCCTCCTCCTCCTCTCCCCTCCTCTCCTCCACCTCCTCTCCCCACTCCTCCCTCCTCCTCCTCCCTCCTCCTCCTCCCCTCCTCCCCCTTTCCCCCTCCTCCTCCTCCTCATCCCTTCCGCCCTCCTCGCTCTCCTCCTCCTCCTCCTCATTCCTCCTCCCTCCCTCCCTCCCTCCCTCCCCTCCCTCCCTCCGCCTCCCTCCCCTCCCCCACATCCCGCCTCCCTCCCTCCCTTCCATCCCTCCCTCCCTCCCTCCCTCCTCCTTCCTCCTCGCCCCCAGGGTGCCAGCGGCGCTCGTGCGGTCGCGCCTGCCGCGCACCTCCCAGGAGGCCCGCCCGTGCTCGCACGTGCCCGTGCCTCCCACCCTGCTGGAGGCCCCAAAAGGGGGGGGGCAGGGTGCCGCTGCCCCCCGCCCCGCCTCGTCCTGCCCGTGCCGCGGACGACCTCGAGATCGGGCCGACATCAGGCGGCGAGCCCAGGGGGGAAGCGAGTGGGGCCCAGCCTTCTCGGAGGCCGGCGGAGCTTCTCGGAAGCCCTCGCGCCTCCTGAGGGGACTTCCAGGCCTTCTCCGACGACGGAGACGGCCTGTCAGAAGGCCAGAGGACTTCTGAGAATCCCCGCCGCCTTCTGAGAAGGCCAGCCCCTTCACGTCCACCCTGGACTCGCCGCCGAAACACCCCAGCCGCCGCGCAAGCAAGCAAGCGTGCAGCATCGAGCTCGCTCGCCCCGCCACGGACGTCGGTGCACCGATCTCGGGGCCCTCGCGGTTGCAGGCCGATGCCTCTCGCCACTGAGGAACCCGCTGGCACGAGAGGGTGCGGACGGCACGGAGCACGGAGCGTCGGCCGTGCCATCTTCCTTCACTCCCGCCCCCCTCGAGTCCCCTCCGTCCTCCCTCGCTCGCTCCAGCCCTGATTCCCCCTGCATTCCAAATGCGTTTTCTTCCGCCAGGCCCAGTCCAGTGGTCCAGGTAGGCCGTGTACTCCCAGTGTGACCAAGGCCAGGCGCAATCAGATCGGTTCTCTCGCGACCTGATTCCAAAGTGCCGAGCGACGGCGGAAATCCTGGAAATCTGGACGCATCCAGACTAGATGTTTTTCATTGGGTCGCCGGGTCGCCGGATTAGTGAATCACCAAACCAAATCAACCGGATCAGGCTGAACAATTGGATCAGCCAGGTCAACCAAATGAGCAAAATCAACCGGATCAACCAAATCAACCAAATCAACCAAATCAACCAAATCAACCGGCAAGCGGATATCATCAGCATCAACTGGATCAGGCGGATCCGCCGGATCAGACGGATCAGCCAGATCAGCCAGATCAACCAAAACAGCCAGATGAATCGGATCACCCGGATCAACCAGGTCAGCAGGATTAACCAGGTCAGCTGATCATCATCCGGATCAGCGTATCAGCCGAATCAGCAGCAGCAACCAGATCAGCCGGATCACCCGCATCAGCCAAATCAAACGGGTCAACCCGATAAGCCGAATCAGCTGAATAGCTGGATCAGCTGGATCAGCCAGATCAACCGGATCAGCCGGATCGACTGGATCACGCGGATCGGCCAGATCACCGAAATCGCCCAGATCAGCCGCATCAGCTGGATCAATCGGATCAGCCGACTCAGCCGGATCAGCGGGATCAGCAAGATCAGCTGGATCAAACAAATCAGCCCGATCAACCAGATCAGCCCGATCAACCGGATAAGCCCGATCAACTGGATCAACCGGACCAAACGGATCAACCAAATCAGCAGACTCAAACCGGATCAGCCAAATCAACCGGATCACCAGATCAACCAAATCACTGGATCAGCTGGCCAAATCAGCCGGATCACCAGACCATGGGAGCAGCTTGCAATATCACCAGTTCACCAGATCAGCCAGATCAACTGGCCAGATCACAAGATCACAAGATCAGCCGGCAAAATTACCGAATCAGCCGGATCACCAGATCAGCCGGCTGGATCACTGGATCTCCTCTCTGGGTCACCAGATCAGCTGGCCAAATCGCCGCATCACCGGATCACTGGTTCATCCAGCCGGATCACCAATCACCAGATCACAGGAGGTTTCCGCAGCAACCCAATTTGAAAAACAAAAACAAAAAAAAACTCAAATGCACTCAGAAATCCTCCCCTCCCTTCACCTTCCATTCGTTACCTCTTGGTCATCTTCCACTCCATCGCCCTCCCCCTCTCCGCCCTCTCTTTGACCCTTCGTCTCCCCACCTCCCACACTGTCCCCCCACTCGTGGGAGCCAACGCTCTCTCCGTCGCAACCGCCGCGCCACTGCCACCGCAACCACCGCTTCCACCCAAACAGCAGCCCGTGAGGGAAAACGATATGGGGACTGGCTCAGGAGGGGAAACATCGAATCGGCGATACATCGCCGACAGATCGGCGATAGGCCTCCGATAGCGAAACCGCATGTTCCTTGGCGGGCGGGGCCAGGCTGTCAGGCCCCTATCGACGATGAATGGGCGATTGGGGGTCGATGCGTTCCCCCCGCAGCCTGTCCCACTCAAACGTTCCCCATGAACCTCTGCTGCCGCCGCCACTGCCGCCACTGCCGCCACTGCCGCCAGACCAGCACGACCGCTTCGCCACAAGTCACCACGGCACGGCCTATATATATATATATATATATATATTATATATATATATATATATGTGTATGTCTCTGCCACTCTCTCCTCTCGTTCTCTCTATCTCTCTGTCTCTCTGTCATCTCTCTCTCTCTCTCTCTTTATTGTTGCTCTCTCTCCTTCTCTCTCTCTCTCTCTCTCTCTCTCTCTCTCTCTCTCTCTCTCTACATATATATATATATATATATTCGCTCTACATCTCTCTCTCTCTCTCTCTCTCCCCGCCTCACACTCTCTATGCGAATGCTTACATGAATAACGAATTAGCAGATGGATCCTCCTGAACATAAGCAGCAGCATAATGATCATACCACCATACTCATCATCATCATCATCATCATCATCAGCAGCAGCAGCATCATCAGCATCATCATCAGCATCATCAGCATCAGCATCAGCATCATCATCATCACTACCACCACCATCATCATCATCAACACCACCACCACCACCATCATTATCATCACCACCACCATCATCATCATCAGCATCATCATCAAAATCAGCATCAGCATCATCATCATATTCATCATCATGATCATCATCATCATCATCATCACCATCGTCATCGTCACCATCGTCATCGTCATCATCATCATCAACATCATCATCATCATCGTCATCGTCATCGTCATCAGCATCCTTAGAAACATCATCAGGATCAGCATCAACATCATCATCATCATCATCCCTCGCTCTGAATATACACGTGTGAGGATATATACTCGTCTCGCTAAAGATCCCTATAGATGTGTATAGATAGACGTGTAAAGATACACCCGCCTACGCCATACAGCGGCTATGATGGCCATGAGTGTGCTCAATTCCTCATGGCTGTCAAGCTGTCATGGTGTTGCGGCACTGCAATTATTTTGTTTGGGTGGGCGCGCCTTCCGGGTTACATGAAACCATACTCGGACACCAATCTCGTGTAGCTTACGCTAACGTGCCTAACAATTGCGCGTCGCACTTGGGGGGAGTGGGTGCGGGGAGGGCAGGAGCGGAGGAAAAGAGGGACTGGAAGAGCTCCGTAGCAGTGAACAAGTCATGACCGATCTCTCCCTCCCACACTCTGCCTGCCTTTTAGCTGTTGGTCGTGAACAAAGACGTGCGTCCCAAATTGCTGGTTCAGCTCCTCGCAATGGATGAACCTGAGCCCATTTCGGATGAGCAAGCGTAAGATGTGACCCGAGAAAGCGATACAAACTGCCAGCACCGGATACCAGCGATAAAGAGGTTCAGCAGACACCCGCGACCCAACACTTTGCTCAAACACTGGACCTGCGTGCGAACTCGTCGACCAGCCTGCGAACGGTCAGGCCGTTGATGGCAGTCTACGTGCATGGCGCATGAATCTGGGCGACAAGAACTGGATGGGCGGCAAATAGATTTGGCACGTCTGATGCATGACGTTCTGTGGCGTCTCGTGATTGTTCCATTCGAACTGCTCGCGTGAGGCTCGCGTTCGCTGGAAAGCCACCGACCGTGATAATTTCGACCTGCCGTCCTGAGATGGCGCCTACAGGGATCACTCGGATAGGGTACGGGGTGGTAAAGTATAACAGACTCCCGCATGTTCTGGCATGTCCGAGCCGACCAGCAGTTGCTGCCAGGGGCGACCCATCAGCCAGCCCGCGCCCGCGCACCCGCCGCAGCCTCGCTCCGTGAGTGTACCCCGTGCCTTGACCCCTCCTCCGCGGCAACCTCCCTCCCTCCCCCTCCCCCTGCATGTGGGCCAATTCGCGATGCCGTGCTGCGACGGAAAAATGCTCTGGCATGTCCTCCTCTGGGTGGCATCCAGAGCTTCCTCTCGGATGCCTTCGCCCTGCCACTCCCGCGCCCTGGGAGAGCAGGCCCCCCCCCCCCGCAGAGAGCACGGCGCCAGAACCCTGGCGCTTAGCACCCGTCCTTGCTGATCTGACGCAGCGCTGGGTCATCGTGATGAAAGAAGACAGTTGGAGGCTTGGGAATGGGCACCAACACCCGCACAGGGGGTTTGCCTCCACGGGGGGGAGATGATCCTAGATTTCGGTGCCGGTGGTAGCCTTTCGGTCACCTAAGAAGCCCGAATATTACCACCATCACCGAGATCGGGATCATCTTCTCTCGGTGGAGACACACCGCCGATACTGTTGCTGGTGTCAACCTCCAGGCCTCCGAGAATGACAACGTC